AGAATGTCTTTTTCTTTATTTTCTTTCTCATCCCTTTCTTTTTGCCTCAAATAGTGATGGCGTTTGAGCAAGGTATAATTGAAATTTTTTTTGTTTTTTTTTTTCTTTCTTTTTTCTTTTCTTTTCTAAAGACATTTAGAAATATTTGGCTCAAAATGGGAAGCTTCATATAGTTCTCCAAAGGTTGACATGTTACATGGAATATTTAGGCCCTATCTAAATATTTACAATGCTTTAAAGACTCGAGACTTAAGACCTTTAATATGGTCTAGCATCCTCTAATGCCCTATTTCATAAGGCGGTTTGCCATAAGGGTGAAACGTGTCTCCACACCTTGGAAGAGTGTCATGGCTTCAAGTTGTGCTTGCTTGATTTCAAGGGAAAGGTGATGAGCCTCTTCTAGGGGTCTTCATATGTCGATGTTTGAACTGGAGGAGCTTCTTTTTTAAGTACTTGAGTTTAGGCCTCAAATAGGAATGTCAACCTTGGAGAGAGCTCTTTTGGCTCATTTTGATTCTAGCACTTCTCTTAGGTCTTCCCTTTTTTGACGTTTCGAACAGCGAGACCAAATATGACAGAATATTCTTATATGGCTAATCAAGAAAATATGTTACATGATGCATGAAGAAATCACAGAACAATACAAATATATATAAACAAAGTGGGAATGAGAGTTAGAAAATGCATGATCGCCACTCTTTTATCTCCCACACACGATTCAAGGTCAGAGGTCTTTCTAAAACCCTAGGACACATTGGTTAGGTCGATAAACCATCATAGGATCTTGGACTGATGCCTCTCACATTTATTGTATGAATGGCACAACATTAATTATTAAGGTAACCCTAAGGAAAAGAACTAGGGTTATGTACATGAGCTTTGGTCGGGCTTACCAGATCTTGGGTTCCATAAACAAGAATTGGTTGTTTCCTCCATTTAGCTTTGGGTATAAGCCAATGGCGATAATCGATTGTGCCAATTCTTTTAATATACCATATGGTACTTAACTTATGGGTAATGTACATTAGTGGTGGATCCCAACAGTCGAGTAGAGTGAAAGGATCAGAAACCCCCAATATTATCTTTAAGGTTTAGGATAGAAATGAGATAAAGAAGAGATAAATGCGTGAATGACAATTATATATACATAAAGTAAACTCAATTTTGAGTTAATAATATTATTAATAATTGTAAATAAGTGGACAACTTTGGAGTCACCTCCTCGCTCAAACCCAAAATCGAAAACTAGAGATTCTGGGTTTGATCCCCAATCAAGTCGCCAGATTGAGGACGCTTATTTTTTTTCTAAAGGAAAATGGAACGGGCTTGGTTGATTTTATTTAATAAATTGATTTTCTTGTATTAAACTCATTTATTAATCCTCAGAAATGGTAATCCTTTTGAAAAGGGACTTTAGAAAAACCTCTTACTTTAGTAAGAGTTTTTTAATTTGGAGTCACCATCCTCTTTAAAGAAAATTCTTGAATCAATTGATTCTTTAGAATCGATTAATTCAGTTTTAAACTAGAGACTGGATAAGAAAGTTAGGTACGGTATCGGGAAGGTGTTAGGCACCCGAACCACCCGATTAAACCGGCCTCCTCATTGTCCATTAATTCACAATGATTAATCATAAAATTAACTCTAATTGAGATGTAAAATCTTTTTATTCGTTTCTCAGAAATCATGACAATCATGCATAACATCTCACACAAGAAGCATAAAATAAACATCCAAAGAAGGGGATTTCAGTTTTTAAACCTAAAGAGACTGGAATAAGAAGTTAGGTACGGTATCGGGAAAGGTGTTTAGGCACCCGAAACAACCCGATTAAACCGGCCTCCTCAAATTGGGTCCCATTAATTCACAATGATTAATCATAAAATTAACGTACTAATTGAGAATGTAAAATCCTTTTTAATTCGTTTCCTCTCTCTCAGAAAATCATGACAATCATGCCATAAAGTAACATCTCACACAAAAGCATAAAATAAACATTCCCAAAGAAGGGGGAGGAAGAAAAAGAATGCAAATCATATCCTAAAGTAAACATCTAAGCATAAACCCATTTAACCCTCCAAATTCCCCAAATCCCTTTAACCTTAATTATAACTCATTGTCCATTAATTCACAATGATTAATCATAAAATTAACTCTAATTGAGATGTAAAATCTTTTTATTCGTTTCTCAGAAATCATGACAATCATGCATAACATCTCACACAAGAAGCATAAAATAAACATCCAAAGAAGGGGGGAGGAGAAAAGAATTGCAAATCATATCCTAAAGTACATTCTACCCATTAACCCTCCAAATTTCCCAAATCCCCTTAACTTATTATAAACAAGTAGTAATAGAACCCATTACATCAAGCTTAATACTTGTAAACAATAAATAAACTTAAATAAACAACTAAAACCACAAAATATATACATCCACAAGAGTAAAATAATAACCACATTCATTCACAATGGTAAAGTTGATGAATGTTAATGTTAAGATGTTCTAAATTAAAGTTAGATGGGTTAGATTAAAACAACTAAAGAACATGAAAGTAAAGTACATAAAAAGTAAAGTATTGAAATTTAAGGAACTGAAAAGTCAATGGTAGAATAGTAAAGCATTATAATTTAACTTAGAATATGATTTGAGTTCAAGTCTCATTACCTATTTCCATTCTTTAGTTGCTCATTCGGGCTAAAAATGAGTTGTATACGCAGTTTAAGTAAGGATGCTTAAGACTTAACTCAATTGGAAACCGGAATCAAAGCATAGTTGTTGATTTTGTGTTATTGAGGTTCTGAAATGAAGACCCGGGCACCACACAGAGTAGTGCGTGGATCTTGCCATGATCAGAAAACTCAAGAAATGGCTTTAGAATGTTGTCTGTGTAGAAGTGGCTCGAGCCATTGCTAGTGGCGTGCGCTACTTTTATTGTGGCTTGCGCCATAGCGCCTATGGCATGAGCCACTGTGTGTGGCTTGGGCCACCACTACAGAGAAAGCTCTTTTCTTGGTTGATCATTGGTTTCCTTCACAACCAGACTTAAAAGAGGTGTTTTTTGAACACCAAAGAAAAGAAAAAGTTGGAGAAAAAGGTTTAGACTCTAAGTTTACTCTGTTTTGAAGAAAAACTTGAGATTGGATTGAAAATGACAAGAAACACCCAAGAACTTCATTCTTTGATCAATAATCAGAGTTTTATTTGATTGATTAGTGTTTTGAGAAAGATTAATTGCAAAATCCCCTGAAATCTTTGAAAGAAAACTATTCTCTCTTAACCCTAATCTATAAAACTTGTTATAGATTTAGGTTAAGAGAGTTTTGAGAAATGAAATTGCAAGAGTTTTGTTAAGCAGTCCATTTTCCTCCCCTTTTAGCACATTCCCCAATACCTTATTTATAGGCAAATGAGGGATGTTGCCCTAATTTTTAGGACTTAGGTGGCAAGTATCACTGTGGGCTCAAAAATGGGTCAATCATATTTTCACAAGAGTGCACCGGGACGTGTTACGAGCGAACCTTGAGAAAGTGAAAATGACCCGATGGGTTATATTTCTTAAACTCGGATCATTGGTCCAAGAATCAAATTCATCGGATATCTCAAACTCATTTTATTACAAAAAAGGTTATCATCACTATCCTTTGGGGCAAAATTGAGCGTCTACAGGAGTTATGCTAAATCAAAGACTTTAATGACTTTCATCTAACTTAAAAAATAAACCCCTGTTAATATCAATTCAAGATTAAGTCTCTTCGACTCTTATTGTCTCCAACATTTATTTTAAATCGATTTAAGACCAAGTCTCTTTGACTCTTGTATTGTGTTCTCAAATCTTGTTCTACATCGATTCAAGATCAAGTCATTTTGACTCTTGAATCGTGTTAGCAATACAAAGAGAAGAATCAAAGGAGACTATTTATTATAATAGGAGATTCCATATAGAGATTGTATCAACGAATTCTTTTGTAAATACAATTTGTATTTTGTACTTTGTTTTTATGCATATAAGACTTTTGATTTAACTAATTCATGCAGCCGATAACTTATTTGAAACTAGATTGAAGGTGTTTGAGAAGCTGATAGTTAATTTATATTTATATCATATTTGGAGTTTATTAATATTATAAAAATAACCACTGATAAAATAATCTGTTGTTCATATTGATAAATTTTTACCATTTTATTTTTAGTTATTTTAAATTAAATAATAATTTTTTTCTTAAACATTATTTCAAAAAATTTATTTAATATTTTTTATTTGTATAATAATATAAATTATACACGTCATATATAAAAATAGTTATACCCATATTTTATATTTTAACGGCTATGCTATTAAAATTTTATTAAACATCAATATTTATCAGATAACTGTTATTCAGCTATCAGCTGGTATGAACAGTTAAAGCAAATTGAGTAAAAATCTAGAAATGTAAATTGCTTTCTGTAAAAAATTTTAAGATGTTTGACAACAACTTTTTATGTAGCTTTTAGAGGTAACGTTTTATAAAAATTTAACTCACGTAATGTTTAATTTTTAGCATTTCGTGAACAATTACTAGAACAGCTAATAGTGACGAAAACAACTAATTAATTTTGCCGAATTAGATCCTTAATTTATAAATTAGGTCACATGTACTTAGCAATGTTCAAAACCACAGATCGAATTGAATTGAATTCCTTATTTCGTTCAAGTTGGTTTTGAAGAAATTCATTAGTGAGACTTAAAACTGAACTGACACAGTAAAAAGCAAGCAAAACCGACCGAATCGACTGGTTCAATTCAAGCCATTCAGTTCAGGAACCAATTTCAATTTGGTTCGATTCTAATCCAAAAACTTCAATTTGTTTTTTTCGGTCCTGGTTCGGTTTGGTTTAAACGGACCAATTATATGTTCACTCAGTTGCCGAAAGAAAAAAAAAAAAAGTTTTAATTTGTAAATTGGGTCAACCACAACATGCTAAATAATGATTAATCTAATCATGTTTTTTTTTTTCTCCCAGAAAGCTCTAGTCCAACACGTCCCTCACCGCAAGTAAAAAACGAAAGAACCTTTATTTTATTGTTCTAACTGAAGAGCAGGGCGCTCGTGCGATGTATGTAACCGATTGATTGACGCAATTTTGCACTTGCTGTTTCCGTTTGTGAAATTGGATCTGAGTTTCAGTTGAAGAGGAAAGAAAGTTTGCTGACGCATTAAACAAAGAGGATAAAGAAAATGGCTGCCTTCATCAATCTACATGATTCCCCAATGTTTCAGAAGGAGGTACGCTTATTCATCTATATTTGCTTTTCTAGATGAAAGCGCGCATTTTTTGATTGAATTTGGACAGATCTGTGGGTTTCTTCTGTGTAATCATATACAAAATTAGAAGAATTAAATGAGCTGAATTTATCGGAAATTTCTGTTTGAACTTCTTCGAGTAATTCCTTTTCCGGGAAAATTAGAGTTTGGCTTTCAGAAGTTCTTTGAAATTGCATTTACTGCGGAATCAAACAATTATGCTTGTCTTTTTATCCGATTATACTTCAGGGGGCTTCTAAAGGAATGTCATTTGCATTATCTAGCACAATTTGAGAGCTATTGAGCTTGTTTTGACTACATGTTAGTGACTAAGTAAATTGAATTGAAACTCCAAATAATCCTACAAATTGATTACTTGATGAAAAATGAAAGACTGCTGTGAATTGTGCCTCAGCTGCAGAGCAGCTTCAGTTATGTAAACTGTAACTTGCTATAGTACTTAATATGATTCCCATGGATACCCCCATTTTTTCATAGCACTGCAGGCTATAATTTTAGAAGTTTCTCTTCTACTATTATAGCTTTTGCAAGCTGCTAATTTCAACAGTTCTAGAACCATCCATTAGATTGTTCATACTGAATGATTATTGCACAAGCAAATCTCAATTTATTCTTTGGACTTTTACGCCTGCCTTTGGCCCAATATAAATCCTTCATTGTTCACATGATTTTGTTTAACTCACCAAACAGTTAATGTGTCTGGAAAAATCACCAGGATGTTTTGCATTTGATGCTTTGTTGAGCCTTAACTGATATGTTGACATAGGACAGAGACAACTGGGCTTGTATTGGAATCGCTAAAGGAGCAAATATCAAACTAAAAAGAGAGGATATGTAGTTGTTGGGTCATTGAGAACCCTACCTGTGATAGTAATGGGTTTATGCTATATTAAAAGAAAGAGTTTAGGCTTCAAACCTGAACTTCCCTAGGCATCATGCTCAAGGTCTGATAGGCATCATATCATATCTAAGGTTTTTTTTTTTTTTTTTTTGAGAATACATTTCATATCTGAAGTTGAATTGCATAGCACAACTCAAAGGACCGTACTCACTGCTTTTTTATCCAACAACAAAATTGAATTATAAGCATTAAGGTCACATGCATTTATATATTTAAACTATCCTCATCCTCTAAGGATTTGGACTTCCAAAGAAAAGTAAAATGGATTAATATTATCCTAAGCTAATAGGTACTAATTATATCTCTGAAATAAAAATAAAGACTCCTATGGCAGCAAGATAACTTTTCTAGCATACATGGAAATTACCCAAACAACTAAAACTTGATGAACCTGCAGCTAATTTATTTAGCTAGACCTATACTTAATACTCTAGAAAGGCTGTAAAGAATTTTGTTAGGGTTTCTAGTTAAGGATCAGGTCACAAGAGGATGAACAAGAAAATCACTATTTTGAATATTAATTCAGACTGAAATCTTAAGAGTTCAATGGAAGAGAGAACTCTGATCTCTTGTTTTTTTGTTGAATTATGGCTTATTGTTTTATTGCTGCAATTGCCCCATAAACTTCCTAATGAAAATAAACTACCCAAAGCAGCTAAAGGAAATCAACCCAACCCAAGCTTCAAATGCATCTACAACATATTTTAAAATTGTTCCAACCAAAAAAAAAAAAAAAAAATTCAGACCCTGAAATCTTAAGAGTTCAATGGAAAAAGAGAACTCTGATTACTCCTTGTCTTGTTGTATTTTTTTTGTTGAATTATGCTCTTATATTGTTTTATTGCTGCAATTGCCTGCCATAAACTTCCTAATGAATAAACTACCCCCTTTACCCTATACCCCAAAGGCAGCTAAAGGAAATCAACCCAAACCCAAGCTTCAAAATGCATCTACAACATAAATTTTAAAAAATTGTTCCACCAAAAAAAAAAAAAAATAAAAAATAAATAAAAAAAAAATTGTTCCAACCAAAAAAAAAAAAAAAATAAAAAATAAATAAAAAATAAAAAAGAAAAAGACTAATAGTACATCTATGCTAGAATTCTTAAATTTCTTGAACTTTCAATCTTGTACTTTCTTAAGTTGCTTCTTGTTTGCATTATATGTGCAGTATAAAGAGAGATGAAAGGATTCAAAATGAAATGATAAGTGAGATACTGTGATTGTTTACTATTGATAGCAATTCTTTACCTTCTTACAGGTAATATATTGTTCTGATTTTCTTTTGTGCTTAATACAGTAGGCCGTACACCTGTGAACACCCATACCAACTAAGTGCAACTCGAATAAATAGGGGTCTATTTCTGATGACTCATAAGACTTTATATCGTCTATATGTCACTATATCCATATAATACCGGTGAATTGGGAAAGGTAAATGGGTATTATTGAAACTTGCCACCCATAGAAGCAAGTAAGCAATTGAGTTTAGGGAGTAGGGTTTTGGCCTTGACAATAACATTTTCAGCATGATGGAATTGGATTCTCAGGGATCAACAAGTTGCACAGATAGATGTAAAGGAAGCCAAATGGTGGTGGAGGCTTTTGAGGTGTGCCTTTCTAGTGTCATGCTGCATGCACATTTCTATGATAATGCTTTGCCTCACTCTAGGAGAGCCACGAACTCTAAGTCTTGATCTTTCTTGCACTTTAGGCGTGCCTTACCAGCTATACTCTCCATCTCGTGTTGAACGTCTCATTCTTGACCATGCTTGTCTTGAATGATCATGCATTCATCTCTATAATTTTTCGTGATCTTTATTGTGAATGTAACTTTAGCAGCTTGTTTTCATATTACCATAGGCCTCTGCGCTCATTGCAAGTCAAGTGAACCTTCCTAATTTTAGTTTCCATGAATCCTGTGGTTCCTTTTGCTTATTATTCTTGGTTGTTGATTGACCAGATAATTAAAGTTGTGCTTATGACATTTTTAATATTTTCCATCATTTGGATAGATATGTTCTCTAGAGCGGCTAGCTGAGGAGTTGAATGAACGTTGCCAAAAACTTTGCAAAGGGTCCAGGAGATATATGTAAGTGTTTCTGCAATCATTGATTTAAAAATGCTTTTGACCCATGAGATTATTTTGTTGGTGTTCATCTAAGAACAATTTCTCAAAATTGATGTGAAATTAAGTGAAATTCTTAATGGATAAGAAATTCATTGAAATTGATTTTTAAACAATTGGATGAGACTGATTTTGGTGCTTGTAGGTTGTGAAGGGTAAAAACTTCTGCTTAAAGTTCAAACCTTAAAGTCTGTATTATGTCTTAGGTAGTGTTTGATAATATTATTTAACACTTAAAATTTTCAACACTGATTAAGTTTTAAATTACTTGATAATGCTTCTCTATATACCAATTAAGACCCTCAATTAAGCTAAAATTTACTTAAAATGATAAGTAAAAATTCTCAGGTTAAACTTTGCACTAAATATATATTAGCTATGCAACTTCTAAATAATTTTGCTCTTCATAAGTTTTATTCACTTATTATATTCAGTGCTTAAATCCAGTTCTTAAATTAATGTTTTCTTCTTCTTCACTGTGATTTATGGATTTGAACAAGTTTCCAAACCCTAATCTGTGCTTAATTTCTCATTTTATTTGGAAAGTAGAAAAGACATGATGCTTTTTGTTCTTTTAACAAGAATCATATACTTTTAGAAGTAAATGGGGGAGTATCACTGGTATTCTCCCCCTACATCTATTTCAATGTCCAAGTTTAATTTCTTGATTTAATTGGAAGATAGCATATTATGATGTTTTCCGCAGGTATTATATATCATTTCATTTGCTTCTTTCTCATTCATGGATAAATGTTAAAAATGTTAAAGAGAAAGTGCTAATTGTTGTTTTGTTTCTACAGGGCAACTCTTGGAGATGCATGTATTGCAGACACCACTTTTGCTGATTCTTTGGAAGCATTTGGTGGTGGACAAGATGACCCTGTCAGTGTATCTATAGGAGGTAGAGAAGTCTCCTTCTCCTTCTTTGTACTCTTCTTAGTTAAATTCTCTCTTTTTCTCTCTATCGCAAACACACGCTCTCAGATGCACTTGCTTGACTAGATTTGGAACAGAGGGATTGGGGAAGCATGCTCAAATTAAAAAGTATTTATGAGATTTTAAATTATCTATTCCTCAAAGCCCATAGAATCAAACTGAGTGCCAAAAGTGGGAGAAAGAGGATTCTAATTTATTAATTAATCATTTATGTTTATTATACAAATATTTATAGTAAATAAACATGATACAAAAATAGCGTAAATCAATGAATAGATTATAACATAACAATCAATCTATCAAATATTTTCTACTTATAATGTGACTTTCCATTAATTTCAAGATTGAGAAACTGCACTCTATTTTATATATACAAGCACTTAAGCATGGCAAATTCATCAGTGCTGTTACTTTGTGGTCTCGAATGCAGTCACACACACCAAAAAAAAAAAAAAAAAAAAAAAACTTAAGCATGGCAAATTCATCAGTGCTTGTTACTTTGTGGTTCTCGAATGCAGTCACACACACCAAAAAAAAAAAAAAAAAAAAAAAAAAGAAAAAAAAAAAGAAAAGAAAAAGGAAAAGAAGAAAGAATGAAAAGCAAAGAAAACTGAACTTTCACATGAGTCTTAACTAGGAAAAAAAAAAAAAAAAAAAAAAAGAAAAGAAAAAAAAAAAGAAAAGAAAAGAAAAGAAGAAAGAATGAAAGCAAGAAAACTGAACTTTCACATGAGTCTTAACTAGGTCATTGTGATTGGATTTCACTTGTTAATTGGTTATCTATGATGAGGTTACACATCTCTATTGTTTTTGAATGTTTTAATATAATAACCTCTAAATGTAAGCCCCAATGCTTATTCTATCTCTCCTCTCAAATGAATACCACCACACTTTCTTACCATCTAACAACTCAATCTACACCTCTTCGTCATCCTCCAAATCCCAAAACGATCATTCTACCTTACTCCAAAACCTAGCTAAATTCTTGAATTGAATAACCTCAAAAGACAATAGGATTCAGGAAAGGGTTACGATATTTGACCAAGTCAAGTATGAAACAAAGCTCTAGGTCCTTAGGGAAATTGATGTTGGTGAATACAAATTACCTTGCTGAGGACATAGTGGTTTTGGTCAAGGTCTTTGGAGAAGAATGTGGTTGTAGACTTGTTTCGTTTGGTTGAAATTGCTGTAAGTTTAGTTGGGATTTTTCAGGAGCATTGTTTTTGAAGCTGAGAAGAATGAGAGTTGGCGTGGTCAGGAGGAGGCCTTTGTTGAGGTATTTTTTAGGAATATAGGAGAGGGAGCTGGTTAAGGAGAATTCGAGAGAGACCAATCACATGCCACTTCTGTTGATAGTTAGCCTGTTGTAGTCTATAGAAACTTTTGAAGAGAGAGTATCGGCGTTTGAGGAAGGTTCAATGATTTTGGATTTTAGTGAAGGAATACAAAAATTGAGTTGTTGAATTAGATGAATAGTGGGAAAATTTTGGAGAAAATGGGTGAATTCATTTGAGAACAGGAAGATTTAGATCAGAGAGATTAGAGGTGCTGGGAGCTCACAATGAGGGCTGATTTATATCAACATTAAAAGAAGGTGCTATCTCAGTGCATATGACAAGTTAATAAGTGAAATCTGGCCACCACAACCCACTTGAAACTCACTATTGTTTTTTTTTTTCTATGATTTGATGAAATTTTGTGACCACGAAGTAACCCGGTGATAATTTCATTGACTATTGGTGAAATTAAGCAAAAAATTACATTTTTTTTTTGATAAAGGAAAGCCACAATTATTGTTTCTTTTATCTCTCTACTTAATAATTAGTGGATGTCCTTATTTGAAAGTTTCTATTCTACCATATGAACAATGTTGAAGTCATCCCAAAGTTTCCAAAGTCTCCTTCAATCATTCTTATCTAGCTAATGGATCACACCAAATATATAAATATGTATGAAGGTACAATCACAAATGGGAGAACAGTGGGAGGGGATAAAGTTGTTTCCCTATTACTGTAGGACTACATCAGGGCCCTTCCTTTAGCTCATACTTGTTTACACTATTTAAGAAATGGAAGAGTTCAGTTTTTGTGCTTGAAATGAATGTTGATAATCAATGTCAGAGGTTTTCTATGTAATTTCTTTCTCTGATACAGGTCCAGTATTATCCAAGTTTATCAATGCGTTTCGTGAGCTTGCCACTTATAAAGAGCTTCTATGTTCTCAAGTGAGTGCTGAAATTGCCATTTAATGCAAAAGGTCCTTACTAAGGCTGTTAATTAGTAAGAGTTATTCATGATTATCATTTTCCCTTTCTTGCTGCATGTATACAAAAATGCAAAATTATGTGCTTTGTTGATCCATTGGTCAAACATATATATTTTTTGACATTTTCTTAAAAGTAATATCTAAGCTCAAGTGCCCAAATGCAGTCAGTTTAGATATCTAGGCTCTATTTTCTGAAAGGAGAGTAGGATTGATGAAGATGTGACTCATAGAATTCAAGTTGGATGAATGAAATAGAGGAGTGTATAGCAGTGCTGTGCGATAGGAAGATTCCTGACAAGGTAAAGGGTAAATTCTATAGGATGGTAGTGAGACCTGTAATGTTATATGGACTAAATGTTGGGACTGATTAACCAACATGTTTATAGGATGAATGTGGCTGAGATGCGGAATGCTAAGATGGATGTATGGACACACAAAGTTGGACAAGTTAGGAATGACCACATTTGATAAAAGTCAAGTAGCAGAAGTCGTGCGTAAAATGAGAGAAGTTGTGCATACTAAATCATCAGTAATTGTCATGATATGAAATGCTAGGCTGTACTTTTATGGATGTTGGATTTAACTCATGCCATGCTCTTGTTAGGATGCACATAGAAAAGCAACAAAACCAAATAATAGATTTATTTCTTTTAATTTCTGTTCATATAGGATGTAATTGTTTTGAATTGAGGGACTCAAAAGTTAATGTTTGAAGGAGAAGTTTGGGCTGTTCCCTTGCTTGTCCTAGTTCTTTGGTTAATGATATTCTTCCTATGTGAAAAGAAAAAGAAATAATGACAGACATGCTAATTTTAGCTGACATGAGCATCAATTCAGATGCAAAATTGTTTTTGGTTGCTATCCTTAAAGGTTAAGGGCCAATGGAGTATCATCAAAATCAAAAAACAAGATCTTGTTTATATTTTTTGTATTTTATTTGAATTATTTTCCATATCTATCTCATGACATTTCTTTGGAGTCTGGTGCAGGTAGAGCATGTTTTAATTGATCGACTGGTGCAATTTATGGATGTTGATCTCCGAGAGGCTAAGGTGCTTCATTCTGTAACTATAGCTACCATAATATACCACCAATATGAAAGTAAATATAGCTATCATTCTGTAACTATAGCTACCATGATATTCATAGTTTGCTTTTAGTTCTCCTAATATTTGAAAGAAAATTTTATCAAGATAGGAAAATTGTGTATTAGTAGGTAAGACATAACAATAGAATCAAAATGACTAATAAATCTGAAGGGCTCTCTAATGCCACTATATGTTTTTTATAAATGTTAAGGAAGCTTAGATACACATTTTGCTTAAAGGAGAAAGTGTCGTAGTAAGTTGAATACGAGCACTATAGGGCAGAATGTGAATAATAGTCTGTTTGGCATTGCGGCAAACTACTTTTTGTCATCTGCTCCTGCAGCCCCTAGGGCTTGGCATACTGTGACCAAGATTTTCTAGGTTTCTAAACCATGATCTACCAGAAGAAGTAATTTAAGATAAAAATAGTTTTAGAAAACAGTTTGAAATTTATTGCCAAATGATGCTTGGGACTAAAGAGACTCTTTGTTGACAGCCAACCATGAACAGAACAGAGTTCAGAGTCGAAGAAAAAGAAGCAAAAGAAGCTTATATAATAAGAAATCAATATTTTTCCCAGTTTTGAATGTAAAGTTATGTATACTAGGTGATGGGTGTAAAGAAAAAAAAGGATGAAAGAAAACAGTTCATTATGTTAATGGTTAAAAATTTTGGATGTGTATGCTTATATATGTCTTTTCTACAGGAGTCTCGCAAACGCTTTGACAAAGCCATTTATGCTTATGATCAGGTATTTGGGATTGAAAGATTTTATTCTTGAAATATTTAATAGTTGAATACTGAAATTTATGCTAACATGTGATACTATTAACAAACGAAGGTTTATCATATATGTAGAAACATATTGATACTGACACTTGTTGAGAAGTGTTAAAATGAGAGACTCACTCACTCACATCAAACAACCAAAGAAACCAAGTTCCATAAAATGAACCTTGAAAGAGCAGAGAGCACTCACAATCACAAATACAGCAAATACAGGTTCTACGGTTGAACCTCTTAAGACTGTAATTCTCATTGATTTGTTTGGAAGCTGCATATATATATATATATATAAATATATATATATTGATTTGCTTTGGAAGCTGCAATATATATTATATATATAAATATATATATATATATTATATATATATATATATATATATATATATTTTATATATATATATATATACTAAGTACGAACTATAATTAACAGTCCCATCTCCTAATATATATATATATATATATATATACTAAGTACAGAACTATATTTACAGTCATTCCTAACCATGCTCGACCTTTGCTCCTTAGTTAAGCCATAGTTACCTGACTATGATACTCAATTTAAGCCCATACCTGTCACCTGAATCCCACTAACATGCTTGCTGAAGCAGCAAGCTTACAAAATCAAATTCCTTCCAATATTCAAACTAACTAGAGAATATCCAATTAAATTCTTAATCCTCAACCATACTTAAGTACCTATAGATGTTCACACATAGGTTCCTTCTCTTGCATGTGGACACACACACATGCACAACATATGTATATATGGATAGATAGATATTGCTTTATTTGTCTTCCATTGTAATAGTTGTATGGCAGTAATTGCAGAAAGAACTTTTGAGAAGATGCTACTCTTGTAGATCTTCTATTTTGTGCATGGTCTATTTATGACCTTCATTTTGTGTAATGTATATGATCTAAAGGGAACATGATTCTTGTATATGATCTAAAGGGAACACGATTCTTTGCTGCACCATCATACCCTCTTATTTGCTGCCTACAAGAAAGAAATGCTTTGCGATGTAATCCTTGTTAAAATGGAAGAGAATTTCGTTTTGATTAAAATTAGTTGTCATGTTTTGTGTGGATTCCTTAGTGGTTAACTTCTGCAGCTTTCTATCTAATAGCTACAGATGGTCTGGAAGATTGGCGAACTGTGGAAGGTAGTACATGCTATGTTATTAATCTTTGTTAACATGGAGGCAGAGCTGGAATTGGGTGATTAGGGGGCCCGATTTAAGATTGACAAGGGATAAAACTGGGAAAGATTATAGAGGAACCAATCAAAGATCTGTGGGCCCAACTGTGTAATTAATTGCCTGGATATTGGGGTGGTCATAAGGCTTATCTCAATCTCACCTGTTTTTCCATTGTGAAGTGGCAACAGGGACAGTTTGTAGTAGTCTCTTTAGTATGTTTGAGTAGCATTGTAGATATTCATAGCCTTTAGAAACTTTGTTCATTTGAAATGGAGAGGGGTTGGATGTTGAAATGTTCATCATTGGAAAGAAATACACATACTATCATAAGGTTGGATTTGGATGTTGGAATGTTCTTTGTTGGAAAGAAATATGCATACTATCATAAGGTAGAGTTTCTGTTTCAATTTGTTGGGGGTAGAGTGGTTTCTTGAGTAGTTTTTTATTTTTTTTTTTGGCCTATGCTCTAAGAGCTTTTGGTGGATACCTTTAATTATTTTCCTCTTGCTTTGAGAATGTCACTTTTTAGTCTTCGCTGTGCTGTGTTTGTAGGTAGGTTGCCTGGCGCGACTCTAGCAGGTGTGCTTTACGCTAGGTTTGCATTCTTCTAGGTGTTAGGTGCAAGGTGCAAGAAAGGTGCGCCTTAGAATTTTCCAGCATTGGTAGCTTTGTCACCTGTAAATGTTATCAAACCTAGCCAAAATAGGGGCATACCTATTCTCAACGATCTTTTCATGTATATACTTGAACATACAGCTAATGTAGTGTATGTCTTTCAAACCATAATCCAAAACTTCTTGTGGCTTGTTTTGCAAGAAATATGGTTTAATAGATTTTGTAATTTTTTTTTTCAATAATTTTCTGTTTTCTATATGTGATGGTGCTTGCCTTTATAAGCATATTTACTTTTGATTGATCAAAATTGGGATAAATTACACCATGCCTCCCGATATTTGGTTAGATTTCTTATTGAATCATCAACTTAATTTATTTCTTTTCTCCCAATCATTTTTTTTAACAAACATGGTTTAGGGATCCAATATTATAAACCTTAATTGGAAGGACATCTTGCATAAATAGTAACACTATGCAAAACATCTCAGAGAGAAGCTTTGTATTTGAATGTAAATCCATTTAATTGTAATTCATCCATGTATCAATTAGTTTGTCTGTAAAAATTGAATGCACAATTCTATGGAAGAACCCACATTCTGTGCTTTTTTAACATTTATATTTCTTGTGATCAATTCCAAGCTTTAAGATACTGATGCCTAGTAGTTTTCTTTGGCAGTCACGTGAAAAGTTTGTTTCCTTGAAGAGAAATACTCGTGGAGACATTATTGAAGAACTAGAAGAGGTAATCTCTGCATTCTTTATAGAATTAAACTTTTGAAGATTTTTCTATTTCAAACGGAACTTTTCTACTGTAGTTGTTTTGTTTATAATGAATGGTGCATTATCAATTATACGGTGAAAAGAAATGGGATGTTGGAAGTCAAAGTGATTGAAAGGCCACGAGACTGCTGAAAATTAAATTCCAATTAACTGATTTTTGGGTTTGTTCAATTTGTTTTGTGACTCTTGTTATTGAAGTGGATTAGTTTTGGGCTTGTTTTTTCTTGATTTATAGTCGTTATGTGGGATACTAAAGAGTCATGTTAGCTTTTCTTGTATAAAGCTGCGCGGGGAACTTGTTGAAACTGATGAAAAGGGTTGATTGTTAGAGATTATGGGGAAAATTGTTTATTGATTTGTACATTCAATGTCATCAATACATCCTATTTATATTCAAGTGTACAAATCTAAATAGGCAAACAAATCTAATTCTAAATAGGCAAGAATAAATTTCTCCTAATTAGTTTATACACAAGTCAACACTCCCCCTCAAATTGGTGCATAGATATTGCACATGCCCAACTTGCAAACTAAATTATGGAACTGTTTGTTATTAAGCCATTTAGGAAGAACATCTGCAATCTGATTCTTTGAAGTCACATGAGTAAGCTTCAACGCACCTTGGATGATTTTTTCTTTTATAAAATGTCTATCAATCTCTATGTACATTGTTTGATCATGCTGAATTGAATTTTGAGCACTACTAATGGCGGCCTTGTTATCACAAAACAAAGTCGAATCTTCTCCTTTCGACATTCGCGATTCTTCCATTATCTTCCTTAGCCATAACAATTCACAGACCCCTTGAGCCATTGTCTGCTTTGGATTAAGCCAATTCTATCGCATACTGAATTGGCAAGACCCGCATGGTTTTGTCCCGCAGGTGAAATGGGGAACTTCCCAAGAGGTCTCCCAACCTAGGATTTCGTTAAGCGAGCACGTTTAATCCTGGAGTTTTTCTAACTCTCCAGGCCATTTGACTAAAAGGCGCCTCTGAGGATTAGTTTTCTCTTTTCGATATATGATCCGATTCATTCCTATTTTCCGCATTCCACTACCCATAGCTAGCCTGCCATCCTAGAAGCTAACCAAGAGCTTTGCTCTACCTGCCCTCTTGGGATCGCTTTGTCGAGTCGGGATGTCACAGGCCCATTAGCTTCTGCGTGGTTCGTCCTCGAACCATCCATTTGCTGGAGGAGGTTCGGCTTTGATACCAACTGTCATGCCCGACTCAAACCACCAGAGGAATTGTCTGCTTTGGATCAAGTCAATTCCATCCCATACTGGATTGGCAAGACCCGCACGGTTTTGTCCCGCAGGTGAAATGTGGTTCGTCTCGAACCATCCATTTGCTGGAGGAGGTTCGGCTTCTGGATACCCAACCTGTCATGCCCTGACTCAAAACCACCAAGAAGGATTGTTCTGCTTTGGATCAAGTCCAATTCCATCCCAATTACTGGATTCGGCCAAGACCCGCACGGTTTTTTGTGCCCGCAGGTGAAATGGGGACATTTCCAGGAGGTCGTCCCATCCTAAGGATTTTTCCCCGCACGGTTTTGTCCCGCAGGTGAAATGGGGAATTTCCCAGGAGGTCTCCCATCCTAGGATTTCCGTTAAGCGAGCACGCTTAATCCTGGAGTTCTTCCAACTCTCCAGGCCATTTGACTAAAAGGCGCCTCTTATGATTAGTTTTTCTCTTTTCGATATATGATATGATTCATTCCTATGTCCCGCATTCCACTTCACATAGCTAGCCTGTCATCCTAGAAGCTAGCCAGGAGCTTTGCTCTAATCCGCCTCTTAGGATCGCTTTGCCAGGTCGGAATGTCACAATCTATCAAACCATGCTCTAGGTGATTGTTTCAGCTCATACAATGCTTTCTTCGATCTACAAGACTTACCTTTGGTTTTCTCATTATCAAAGCCTGGAGGAATATCAATGTATACTTCTTCTTCTAGATCACCATGCAAAAAGGCATTTTTCACATCAAATTGATGTAGGCCCCAATCCAGGTTGGTTGCACAGGACAACAGGACTCTACTGGTGTTCATCTTTGCAATTGGAGCAAAAGTCTCCTGATAGTCCTCTCCATAGGTCTGAGTAAATCCTTTTGCCACTAATCTAGCTTGGTATCTTTCAACTGTGCCATCTGCCCTGTGTTTTACTGTGAATACCCATTTGTATCCCACTGGTTTCTTCCCTAATGAAGAGGTAACAAGTTCCCAAGTTTCATTCTTTGCCAAAGCTTTCATCTCCTCCACCATTATTGCTTTCCATTTTGGATCTTGATATGCTTCCTGCAATTCTGTGGAATAGAAATTTAAGAAACAGACAACACAAAGGCCTATAGGAAGATGATAAAGAGTCGTAAGAGACAAATTGGGATATAGGATGTTTGGTACAAGTTCTAACCCCTTTTTTGAGAGCAATGGGAAGATCAACTTCATCAACTACGAGGTCAAAGTTAGAAATATTAACAGAAAGAATTGTATCAGAATTAGAACTTGGAGTTATAGAGGACTCACGACGTGGATTTTCAGGAGCTGATTGCAGAGATAACGATTGATCAGGTGTATCATGCGTGACGGCATTAACCTTCTCTCTTCAACTGTATCTCTTTAAATTTGGCCTATCAAATCTACCGTTTTTAGGTTCTCGCTCATCACTAATGCTTATATTCACAAATTGTTCAGAAACAGATACTGAAATAGGAGGTAAAGGGGACTCCTCTTCTATCCTAATCTCCCCCTGAAGAGGAGTTGGGGAGAAATAAGGCTCAAACTCTCTAAAGGTCACATCCATACTCACAAAGTATTTGCGGGAAGGAGGATGATAACACTTATACCCCTTTTGAGTAGCAGAACAAAACAAACACACATTTCAGAGCTCTAGGTTCCAACTTGCCTCCATGCCTGTGATGAACAAAACAAATACAACCAAATACTTTTAGAGGAACAATATATGAGGTACTACCTTGTAAAGCAGCTATAGGACTTTTGAAATTGAGTGTTTTAAGAGGCATCCTATTAATAAGATAAGCTGCAGAGAACATTGCATCTCCTCAATAAGTCTTGGGAACATTCATGGTGAATAAAAGGGATCTAGCTACCTCAAGTAGATGCCTATTTTTCCTTTCAGATATTCCATTTTGAGCACTAGTATTCACACAGCTAGTTTGATGTATGATTCCATGAGAGTCTAAGTAAGCTTGAAACATGCTATTCACATACTGAGTTCCATTATCAGTTCTCCAAATTTTAACCTTTGCATCAAATTGTGTACTAATCATGTTATGAAAAGGTTTAAAGCAAGAAAACACTTCATTCATCTTTTGCCTTTAGCAAGTAAACCCAAGTTAATCTAGTGCAACAATCAATAAAGTTAACAAACCATTTATAACCAGATGATAAAACAATAGAAGTAGGATCCCATACATCAGAATAAATAGTCATGAAAGAAACTGAACTTTTATTATTATGGGAAATATAAGAACTTCTTGTATGTTTAGCAAGTTCACAAGCATCACAACTAAAGATTCTAACTGACAATGCTCAAAAAGACTAGGATATGATCTCCTTAGGACTAGAAAAGAGGGATGCCCTAATCGCCTATGCCACATAATTATTTCTTAATTAGGATTATTATGATTTCCTAATAGGGCTGGAGTAATAAAGGGAGCCAAAGAACCGCTGTTCTTTTCCAAAAGATATAAGTCATCATGCAATCTACCAAAACCAATTGTTTTCTCTGTTCTCAGATCCTGCAAAACAGAATGAGTAGGAAAAATTCACTTTGCAATTAAGGGCTTTTGTAATAGCACTAACAGATAAAAGGTTAACAGGAAAACTGGGTACGTGAAGGACAAAAGTTAAATCAATTCAATTGTGGGTGTGCACTTAATAGAACCTGTGCCAGCAATAGGTGCAAAAGAACCATCTGCAATGCGAACAGTTTCTTTGCCAGAATAAGATGAATAGGTTATGAAGGTATTAGAAAAGCCTGTCATATGTTTGTTTGTTCCTAAATCTATAACCTATGAATCATCATCAACAGAATTAGCAAGAAGGGCCATACTTGATTGCACAAAATTGGAAGAAGCGGAGGTGGATGGAGACTTAAATTTTGACAAAAGGCGATTTAATGATTGTACCTCTTCAATAGAGAAACTCCTAGCAGATGATGCTTCAGGTACTACTACTACTTCAGCTTGGTTCGCAACAAAATTGGAAGAAGCGGAGGTGGATGGAGACTTAAATTTTGACAAAAGGCGATTTAATGATTGTACCTCTTCAATAGAGAAACTCCTAGCAGATGATGCTTCAGGTACTACTACTACTTCAGCTTGGTTCGCAACAAATCTAGAGGAACCCATCCTTTTATTACCACGACCCCTAGTTGGTTGTCCATGTAATATCCAACACGATTCTTTAGTATATCTTGGCTTTCCACAGTAATCACACACTAACCGGTCTTTACTTGAAGAAATCTGAGTATTATGTGCAGGTTGAGAAGCATGAAGTTCGGATTTCTCAACAAAAGCAGTAGTAAGCATGACAATTCTCTGGCTTTCTTCCTGTTGAACATAGGAATATGTTTGCTGCAATGAAGGCATGGGGTCTTTTCTCAAGATTTGAATCCGTATCGGATCATATTCAGCGTTTAAACCTGCAAGAAAATCATATATACGCCCCTTCTCGACTTTCCTCTGATATCCTACCACATCAGCCTCACATTTGGGATGATAATCATCATAGTAATCAAGTTTCTGCCACAAACTATTCTCATAGTAATCAAGTTTCTGCCACAAACTATTCAGTTCAGCATAATGCTGATTAATGGTCATCTCACCTTGCTTTGTTCCTTGAACTTTGTTTCGAACTTCATATACTTGTGCATCATTCCCATGTTGAGAATAAGTTTGGAAAACAGTCTTCCAAATTTTTTCTGCAGTATCCAGCATCAAATAACCACTAGAAATTTGAGGTTGCATGGAATTAATAAGCCAAGATATGACGAGAAATTTTCAGAGTCCCATTTATCATTTATCAAAAGTTGGACTGGTTGTTTCAGGTTGTGTTTAAGTTCTAGTAAGGTATCCCTATAGTCCTCTAGCTTTAATAAATAAGAGACAAGACCTTGACCAAGCAAGGAAATTAGTGTCATTAAGCTTTAGGGGACTGATTTGCAAAGAGGGATTATCATTAGAAAAACTGGATTTGATTTCAGTGGTTTCATTATTTTCACCGGTCTCTTTTATATCAACCATGTCCAACGAAACAAAAGGGGGAGTCAAAAAAAGTTGAAGGAAATAGTAGGTTGTTGTTCAAATAAAAAAGGAATTAATTAAAACCAGAATGAAAGTCAACTTTGAAGCCTGAAATAGAATAGCCGGAGTGAGGGAAGTCGACCGGAAGAAATCGCGTCAAGACCAGTTACCGGAAACAGGTGCCACACGCTGTCGTGTGGAAGAGAGGCCGGATATTACTTCAGGTGCTTGAGAGCACGCTCTTGGTCGAATGGTCACCGGATTTTGAGGAGCTAGTTGCCGGTGGCTAGGCTTCCTTTTAGGGGTGGTGGTGTACTTCACCTCTATCCAGAAAACCTCTGATAGCGCAAATATGACCTGCTGCCCTACTGCCCTAAACACTCAGATTCAACAACTTCGGGCTGTGATACCAAGTTGATTTTTATAGATTATGGGGAAAATTGTTTATTGATTTCTATATTCAATGTTATCAATACATCCTATTTATATACAAGTATACAATTCTAAATAGGAATACAAATCTAATTCTAAATAGGCAAGAATAAATTTCTCCTAATTAGTTTATACACAAGTCAACAAAAAGTTATTTTGAAACCACCTTTTTGTCTAGATATCTGATGTGTCTTTCTGTTTCTTTGGTGTTGCACAACCTCGAATTTGATGCTGAAGTTTGTTATAGTACTTGGCAGAATCTCCTTTTAAATCTCTTTTTTCCTCTTTATTTTATGTGGTGCCCCCCACCCCCCCCCCCCCCCCCCCCCCCCACCCCCCCCCCCCCCCTTCTCTCTCTTTCGCTCTGTGTCTTTCAAAATCACACCTTGTTACAGCTCCCCCCCCCCCCCCCCTTCTCTCTCTTTCCTCTTCTTTCAAAATCACACCTTGTACAGCTTCAAATCCCAAACAGCTTCTATACTTCAATATAAGTTCAGTAATTAGGACACTAAAAATTTGAAATATAGACTGTATTTATATGCGTATTTCTTCATTGGTTTCTAAACAGGTGGTACTTTTTTATCTTTGTTTACTTTTGGGATATATTGAATTGGCATCTCTTAATTTGTGGTGGATACCACCTTCCATGAAAAGTTGACATTGCACTAGGTCAGAACTTGCCGTGATGGGGCAATTTAGCAGAAGGTAGTTAAAAGGCGAAATGATCAAAGAAAGTTTGAACTTTGGCTTTTTTGCAATTTTAGCCAATTCTTTTAATTTTAGCTATTGTGGTAATGAACTCTTTTTTTGTCACAATTATAGCCTTTGTTATGTGTCAAAGGTCGCTGAAGTTGCCATTACTGGGGTCCATGTTTTGACACCATTAGAACCACATCAACATGCCACATCAGCAAAAACAATATCAAATAACTAAAAAAAGCTTGAACTTTGACCGTTTTTGCAATTTTATCCAGTTTTTTTAATTTTGGCAATTGATGCCGTGAGCTTTTTTCTTTTTCTAGATTTTTTAGATTTTGTAGAATTATTAAATTTTAAAATTTATTTATTTTAAAGATAAATTATTTCAGATTGTGATAATTTATTTTAATTTCAAAATTTTCAAATTTAAGTTGAATGGAAAGTATATAATGTATTTGTGTGTTGTAATGTTATTTTAGTTTTTTGGAATTAAATTCTTATTTTTGTATAATATATTAATTATTAATTAAGTGAATGATTAAATTAAATTTAAGTAATAAATTTACATGGTAGACTGATAGACTGTAATTTGGAGAATTATTCAAAATCTAAGTTTTACATGATTAAACCATAACTAATTTTGTGCTAAGTATGTGTATGTAGTACTATGAAACAACTCAAGTGACATTGTTAGAATTAAAAAAGATCGACTAAAATTGCAAAAATGTCCAAAGTTTAAGCTTTTTTTTATTATTTATCCCTTTTTTTTATTTTGCTGATGTAGGCTGGTGATGTGGTGTTAATGTGTCAACATGTGGATCCCACTAATGAAAACATTAGAAACTTCGTGACGGACACAGGACAAAGACTATGATTGCAATGAAAAAATAAGTTCACTACCATAATTGCTGAAATTTAAAGAATTAGCTAAAATTGCAAAAACAGACGAATTTCTGGCTTTTTTTTATCATAGTTAAAAAGACTTAAACAAGTTGTGCAATTATATTCTAGTGTTCAATTTCATGGACAATGTTCCGTTGATTTTTTTTGTGTGTAATATGGAAGATGTATGTTTCTTTCTTTTTTTCGTTTCCATTTAATTATTTTGTTCAAATTTTGATCCATGAAATTTAGGAGCTTACTATCCTTTATCTTTTTACAGGATTTGCAAAATTCAAAGTCAGCATTTGAGAAAAGCCGCTTTAATCTAGTGGGCATTTGTCAATTTCTGCTGGCTTCTCTGCTAAAGGTGCTACTTGATCTTCTTGTTTCTAATGACCCATTTGATTCTTTTGTAAGGAATTCAGGTTAGCGCACTTGTGAATATTGAAGCAAAAAAGAAGTATGAGTTCTTGGAATCTATAAGTGCAATTATGGATGCTCATCTGAGATACTTTAAGCTGGTATGTTTATATCTGTGCTACACACGACCCGCATTTTATATGCATTAAGAGGGCATTTGATTAAGCTGATTCATGCAGCTGATAGCTGATTCATACTCAAAGGCGAAGTTGTAGGTATTTGATAAGTTTTCTAACCAGTAATAGCTAACTGATGGATATTTAGGCTTCATTAACCTCATAAAAACAATTAATAATAAAATTAATTTTTTTAAATTAGTAATTTGTTTGTGATCATTTTGGTTTACTGTTATCTAAAAATAATAATTTTCTATTAAATATGAGTTTTTAAAAAATTTAAGTTAATATTTTTTATTTATATAATACATGAAAACAAAAAATAATATATTTACCATAAAAATTTTGAAAAATATATACACTACATCATAATATATAAACAATTATACATCTTGTTATTTTACATTTTAACAGTAGCCCACTTCGAAAATCTTACCAAACACCAACATTCATATGCCAACCGTTAGCAGCGCCAGCTATCAGCTAGTTTGAATAAGCTATCAGTTAGTATGACAACTAAACCAAATAGGCCGTAAGTGTTTATTATTTTCTTTCCTGAATAAATTTTCTTTCTACATGATTTAGGGGCATGACTTATTGAGCCAAATGGAGCCATTTATTCACCAGGTGAGATTCTGGAATCAGTTTTAGTTTGCTGAATTTAGGGATCATTTGGTTATCCTAATACTTATATAATTTACTTCTCAGATATTTTGGAGAAAAATTTTAGAAAAAAATTTCTTTTGCTTAGAAGACAAAAGACAACTTTAAAGAATCAAAAACGTGCAGTATTACAGGGGAAAATTAACATTTTTTTTACAATAAATTAGTACTACATTTTGCTTTGAAAGAAATTTATAGGGTTATCCAGATTTGATGAATATGTGGCTTAGACACGGGAGTGGAGCTAGAATTATTTTAACAAAAACATTTACCTAGATCACTGTATTTATTAAAAAAATATTAGTCACATGCATTTTCAAACTAAATTATAAATATATTCTGTGAATTGCTTGTATTTTAATGTTGCCATCAACTTAAGCTGTCAATGTTTAAGTTATAACTTTACACGTTTATTGAACTTCTCTAAAAGTCATTAAATTGATTCACTTGAAATTTAATGATTTTTTGCAGTAAAAGTATACATAAATTCATTTGATAAGCTACTTGAATTAACATGCTAAATGGATGCATTAGCTGACATATTTAAGTATCACAAAAAACTAAATGCAAAATTTCTTCTAATATTATCAAGAGAAAAAAGATTCAAGAAAAATTATAATAAATGCTTGAAGTTTTATTTTTCAAATAAGTGGAATCAATTATTATTTTTAATAAAAAAAATCTAGTGCATTAAGTTCTTGGAACTTTTTTAAGTATATAAAAGTTTATTACTCTTAATAGATGAATATAGGTTGGCTCTTGTAGAATATTATGTTCATGAGGAAATTTTCTTTGTCGAATTGGAACCTATTTGATTAGGGATTACGAATCATATCCATTTTACCAAGGATTGGATTTTTTTAATTGTTAAGGTAATGCCATTTGAAAAAGAACTTATTTGAGAATTTGGAGTATTGCCAATCCTGCAAAACAAATATAGCAAGAATAAAGCTCGTAATCAAATATCTGACTTCAATCTCTGGTATCAACAACTTTTCCATAAAGCCTTGCTGCCACTTCTAATCCTTGATGCTTCTTCTTTATTCTTGGATTCATACACAACAAGGTTAAATCTTTCTTTGAAGAATTCGGACTTAGCAACTTGTGAATGTAGATGGAATGTATTTTTTGAACCAGAAACAACACCTGAAGCTTGTTTTCCTCAGCCTTTTTCTTGAATTTACAGGAAAACGTGACCTTTACATGTATCTTTATAACTTAATACTGGTTTCTTCTTCAGTTGTCCCTTTCTTCATCATTCATAGCATAACGCACTTCAATCGCTAATACTTGATTAGGCGAATTAACGTTCAAACTACAACTCCATCAACCATCTTGACACAAGTTATCTCACAATCATTTGAATCAAAAGTAGTGCAGTAGCTATTCTTTGAAAACAAAGAATAACTTCTCTCTAGCATTTGAACTAGTCTCAGCAATTTTGATCTTAACATGCTTTGAACAAAAAATCAGAAATAATTGTGGTACCTCCTTTTGTTTGGACTGCAATTGAACCTTTGCTATCTGCTCACGTATCCATTGCCTAACTTGATCTTAGTTTTGAAATTTTTATCTGAAGAATAAAAAGAGTAACATCCTTTGACATGTGATATGTGCATCCACTATGCACAAACCAAATATGTTTTTCCATTTGCTGAGAAATGTAGGACGCCAGGACTAGATAAACATTAATTGACATTGAACTCCAATGAAATTGACCTTCTGAGTAGGGGTCTGTTTCTCCTGATTTAAAAGGCAGGTCTCAAAGGTCCAACATATTCACAAGATGAATGTTGCAGAAATACGAATGCTAAAGATGGATATGTTGTCACAAAAGATTGGATAAGATTATAAATAACCACATTCAACAAAAGGTGCAAGTAGCCCCTGTTGGAGATAAAATGGGAGGACGTTTGAGATGGTTTGGTCATGTCCTAGAGTCTTCAGAGTGGGAGAGGTAGACCTAGGATCACTTAGAGCCAAAATGTCTCAAAAGACCTACTTTTTGGCATTAGTCAGTCTTACTTATTAATTGAGCGGAATTGAAACAGAGGATCCATATTGCTAATGCCAACTAGTTTGGGGTTAAGGCTTTGTTGTTATTTTTGTTGTTGAATGGGTTGTTTTGCAACCATGCAATTCATCTGAAATTTTAAGCCTCAACTTAAAGTGGACTTAAGCAGAGACGAAATTTGTCTCCTAGTAATGTATGTTTTTAGTACTGTATATTTATCATTTCAAGTTGGAAATACACAAATCAATTCTGTACAACTAACTGAATTAATGCATTTAGATTTGTTTCAATATTGCCTCAAGAATTATCATTAATTTATATGATTTCTTGATACGTGTGTATCTCTTATCAATAGGATATTTTTGTCCTTTGGTGATAGGCTTGCATGCTCACAAGCTTGTTGATAAGTTCTTTTTTTTTTATTTTTATTATTTTATGTCTTTCCTTAAGTTTAAACAAGTCTGACATGGCTTTCTATGGGGAACATAGTTTTTGATATATGAAGTACTTTTTGGATGCAGGTATTAACATATGCGCAACAATCAAAAGAACTAGCTAGTATTGAACAAGATAAACTTGCAAAACGGATTCAGGAATTCAGGACTCAAGCTGAGTTTGACAATAATCGTTCTTCTAGTAATATAGAACCGTCAACAAGTGCTGATGGCATTCATGTTGTTGGTATGAGCTCTTATGAAAACATAGGAGCAATTATGCAGTCCTCTGCAAATGGCGAAGTAAGTAATAGATTTTTCATCTTTCTTGAATATCATCTTTTTTTTTTTTTTTTTTTTTTTTGGGTATGAAGCTCTATGGAAGAAGGAACATCAGGGAAGCTAATATTATGGCAGTCCTCTGCAAATGGCGATAATGTAGGGAGAGGAATAATTAAATGTGAGTATTTTGCATTCTGTCTTTGAATATCATCTTTTTGTTTATTTTTTTTTTTTTTCTACCATCAATTTACAGTAAATATAGTGAGTTTAATTCATTTTTGAGCCTCAGTGGACTCAAGTGAATCAGGAAGAATTGGAACAATGATCTTTATAAAATTGGTTATTCAGACTGACTGAGATTGTTCCGAATGCATTTTTAGAGCTAAATCAACATGGGCTGGTTAGCTCTGTTCTAAAATCTGCGATATAGGCTTTTAGTTTCGAGAATGACACACTATTTAACAACTATTTTCTGCTCAGATCCGAAAATACCTTCGAGGTGTAGTTTTTATATAAGAATCCAATGCAGGTCAATAGAACGTATTCAATTTAACTTTAGTCGGGAAGCAGCATTGAAAGAGGGTCACATGTTGGTTAGGCTTGCAAATGCAAATGTAATGCAATCGTCACTGAAAAATAAGGATCACTCCTTTTCATTGTGTGTGTACACAAATGAAGTATGCTTAAGTGTTTAGGTTTTGCTTAATATTTTGAATTTTTAGTGGCATGTGTGTTATTTGTCTCCAAAGTTGTACTTTTGACTTCAACGCGATAATTTGTCTTTCATTATAAAAAAGTCGACACGTTAGAACAAAAATTATTTGCGAATGCGAATACCCCCAATTTCATTTCCAAGGCGATCAAACACAATGCCAAAGTGTGATAGCTAATCCTGCAGTGTTGTCACTGCCAAAATTTTTGTGACTTATTTGCGCATCTCATACTAGACTATTTTTTTTTTTTTTTTTTTTTTTTTTCTCCATCAAGTTACATAAATATTATTTAATTTTCATTGAGCTCAGTGGGACTCATATGATCAGATGATACAATGATCTTATAAAATTGTTATTCAACTTACTAGATGTTCCATCATTTTATACTAATGCAACAGGCTGGTTGTGCTTGTCTAAAATCTGCATATGCTTTTAGTTCGTGAATGACATCATTAACCTATTCTGCTCAGACATGGACCTGGTAGTTTTATAAGAATCCATGATGAACTTTCATAATTTAGTGGAAAAGTTGAAGGTCACATTTGGTTAGCTTGCAAATGGAAATGTAATGCAATTCCTGAAATAGGATTACTTTTTCTTGTTTGGTTCACAAAGAATACTTAATTGTTTATTTTGCTTTATATTTGAATTTTGTTGCAAGGGTATTTGTTCTTAAGTGTACTTTTTGAGCTCACCATTTTGTTTTAAAAATGAACGTAGAACAAAATTATTTGTATTTCGACATCCAATTTCATTTCCAAGGCGAGCCAAACATGCCCAAAGTGTGATAGCTAATCTGCAGTGTGAGCCAATTTTGTTGACTTATTGCATCTCATACTAGATATTGCTCCTTTTTCTGTATATGTTTTCATTTTCATGCATTTGTTGCAAAGCTTCATTTGCATGCTTTTTTCTATAACTATGAAAGTAATATGGTTGTCCTCTATGTATCTCAATTTCTTTTGTTATTCTCCTGATCAAAATCTAGCTTCTATTTTTGGGAAAAAAAAAAGGTGAAATTAGATTCAGTCTATTGCAAGCTTGTTTTTGTCATTTTTATTTTCTTGGCAATAATTTTTCTTGAGTTTCAATCTGTGATTTTCAAGCTGAATGCAAAGGTCCTATGTTCTATACCATGCATTGCATGCTATTATGATGCCAACTGAACGCAAGCTTCCTGTGGTGCATCCACGCATTACTTGCAATTATGATTATTAATTTAAACTATGGACATCCAGTGATATTTTCTGTCAAGTGTTTCATCTTTTTTCAACAAGGAAAACATTTTTGAGATAAAGAAGCAAATTTTGTACGTTAAGTACTTCTTAGAAGCTTTCTTACTTGCTTTCTTCAATGTTTAGGTCCAGACAATCAAACAAGGATATCTACTAAAGCGTTCTTCTCATAGGGCAGATTGGAAGAGAAGGTTCTTTGTACTAGACAGTCAAGGCTCTTTGTATTATTACAGAAATAAGGCTGCCAAACCTGTGGTATGTTTCAATGTGTTATGAATTACAGTCAATCCATTTTAGTTGTGAAACATTAGAAGTATTCCTTTATCTTTTTTTCCAATGTTAATTGTCAGTCAAGGAAACATCTTTTTTTAGTTTAATCATTAATTAATAATTAGGAACTTAGATTTTTCTTTAAAATTTTTATCTAGGGCATTGAGGATGTTACTACTATTTAGTAATGTTCTTATTTTTATTAGATAGTTAATTATTAAGAAAGTGTACTTCCTATCAAATATTGGTTTGGGATCTTCCTAGTTTGGGATTCCAAATTCTGGTAGGAGTAAATTAGTTACTAAAGTCACTATAAATGGCTGTTATCCTTTCGCAAACATTGGTGTAGAGCTTTAAGGAGTGATGCTCTCACACAATGCTCAGAAAAACATGCATATAAAAGTTCCCTTGCACGAGGAAATAGTTTCCTATAGAACTCTGTTCTGATGACCAACAAAGCTCTAATACTTCACTGTTGATCAACTGTTTCATGCATCTGCTAATTACCTTATCTTGTCCCTGTTTCCAATTATTTAGAAATTGAATCCTGCATAAAATTATATATTGAAATAATTATTATTGAGATTCTAGTTCTACTTCAGTCATAGCATGGACATGAATAAAATTCATCTCTCTGTTCCATCAGGGCTTCCAACATCGCTCAACTGTCTCCGGTGATCACAATAGTAGTGTATTTGCCAGATTTCGTTCTAGGCATAACAGGGCATCATCACTTAGTGAAGGAAGTCTAGATTGCTGTATAATTGATCTTCGTACTTCAGCACTAAAGATGGATGCAGAGGACACAAATTTACGACTATGCTTCAGAGTAATTTCCCCACAGAAAACGTACACATTGCAGGTGATTTACCTATTTGAGATACAACGTTTTTTTTTTTTTTTTCCAGAAATAAGAAAGCTTCATTTTGTGAATGGTTCTATACAGTTAGGTTGTTGGTTTAATGGACAGAAAACCTTGTAAGTCAAGGTTGCCAAGGATAATAGGCACTTCTGATTCCGCATGCATTATAAACTTCAGCATGGCCAAATAATTTGGATGGGCTCAAGAAACAAAATTTTTGCACACACAGTAGTGGAAATTATTTACCGGTTTGGAGGCACATCTGAATGCTTGAAACCAGGGAAAAAATGTATTAAATTAATATTGCATAATCTAGCTCTTAACTAATTGTTTGAAATAATTTATTGATATAGTGCAGGCACATGCTTCACTACTTAAATTACGTTGAATAAACAATATGAAATTTGAGAGACGAAATTGACATAAATCAGAACTATTTTGATGTAGGACAGCCTCTGGTATCCAACTGGGTGCATGTCCTCTTCAAGTTTTGCACAATATAAGAAATCAAGGATCTTCAGCTGCCTCTAAAGAACCAGGTCTTGGTGCTTGCTAAAGTAATTAAAAGGTTAGCATTGTGCTTGTATTTGTAGGTCTGGTTGTGAGATGCCACACAGTGAACGAACAAAAGTAACACAAATGGAGAAACAGAACAAAATGTAATGGAAGATAATCTAGCTTAACTACTTGATTTCCTGGAATCACTTACTAGGATATTGGGCATTAGGTTTAAAGTGCATATGTAATATGTTATGATATAAATAGCATTGTTGGTGCTCTGCAACAAGATCAGTTGCTGAGAATGATACGAGCAGCGACTATAAATTATTTGCGATTATCTCCAACAATTACTACAACAGTATGATAGTATCCAGCAGCTACTGATGACCATTTTGACTTTCAATAACAACTACTTTGACAGGTGATTGATATAATAAGTAACCACAAGTTGTTAACATTCTGTTTGCCAAACATTGGTAAGAATGAAAACTCATTAATTTCTGGGAGAAAAATTTTCACGAAGCAAATGTAGCATTAATTGCCAGAAAATAAGCAAGAAACCTGCCTGACATGCAACATTGTTGACCATTATGTCACTAGACAATTATGAACAACATGTTTAATACTTCTGAAGGAACTATAAAGGGAAAACAGAAATTGATGAAACACACCATCTACTACAGTGATTGGCAAGCATTAGCTCTGTATATCCCAACATCTGGCTTTTTCAAACTTCTATTGTTTGATCATAAATGTAAAATACTCTTGTGCAATTGCATCGTAGTGGTCTTACTATGAAAATAATATGATATTTACAATAATCTTTTTCTTTTAAAGCATTCTTACATTTTGATCAAGTTATCTGTGAGGTTACGGATATTTTTTAGATGGCTGTTTGACTCCTTTGCATTACCTGACTTTCAGGCTGAAAATGGAGCAGATAGAATGGACTGGGTAAACAAAATTACAGGAGTAATTGCATCTCTTTTCAATTCTCATTTTCTGCAACAGGTTACTCTCTGAAGTGCCTTAATACTTAAATGTATGAAGATCTGAAATGCAGGTTTTGCTTACCTGAATCTACTTTTGCAGCCACATCCAAGAATGAAACATCTGGAAAATAATGAGTGCACAAGTGATGCTTCAACTGCAGTTCAACAACTAGATAATCAACCTAATTTGGATGGTAGTGTGGAAGTTAGTAGAGCTAATTGTGTTTCTCGGATTCTTAGAGAAATTCCTGGAAATGAAATTTGTGCAGAGTGCAGTGCTCTTGAACCTGATTGGGCTTCTCTTAATCTTGGTATATTGTTGTGTATTGAGTGCTCTGGTGTTCATCGGAATCTTGGCGTTCATATTTCAAAGGTGCATGCATCTTTTTGAACTGAATCTTAAGCTCATTATTTGTTAGTTGAGTTAATTGTAGTTATCATCAAATCTGTGACTTGTAATGCAAATAGTAATTCCTTTACTAGAGAAAAAGTAACAAGTGGGACAATTTTGAATTTGGGAAAACATCAGAGATGCCTCCTTTAGTTTTCGGGAAATCCGCATGTTGGTCATTGTACTTTGAAGTTCTACACTCATAATGTCATTGCAATGGTTGTTATCATACTGTTACCGATATATAACAGTCACTGCCGATAAAAAATGTGATCTTCTGTTTTTCTGGTTTCATTCCCCAAAATATCCACTTCTTCAATCACCATTTATCCTGTCTTTGTGACCTGTTACAACCTAAATTCATAAAATGAAAAAAAAAAAAAAAAAAAAAAAAAAAAAAAAAAAAACAGTATCCTGTCTTGTGCCGTTACAACACCTAAATTCATAAAAATGAAAAAAAAAAAAAAAAAAAAAAAAAAAAAAAAAAAAAAAAGAAGAAAACTTCCTTTATGAATTTCTACCTTGATTTTACTTCATTAACATAAGCAAACAAACTAGTCAAAAGGAATGTGTTTTGTGAAAAAAAAAAAAAAAAAAAAAAAAAAAAAAAAAAAAAAAAAAGAAAGAATACTTCCTTTATGAATTTTACCTTGATTTTACTTTTCTATTAACAAGCAACACTGAAGTCAAAGGGAATGTATTTTGGCCTATTTTATTATTATTATTTTAAAGAGATGAGTAAACTTTGACTTAATTCTTGTTGTTTTTGGAGATGAGTAAATTCTTGTTGTTTTGTGCTAGTTACTAAATTAGATTGATAAAAATGAACTTCTTTACGAATTCAATGTCTTTATTTGAGGCATTTTTATACACAAGTTATCTGCATTTCTTTATTTTATTCAAGTCCTCGGATATTGATTTATTTAATGCATTTTGCAATTTAATAGCCATGAGAACCTGGTTTCCTTCACGAGGAATTACCCTCTGCTATTGGAGACTTATTGATGTTGTCAAAATTTTTACATTTTGGGAAGGTTTGGTTGGTGAAACAGTTGGTTGAATGCCTAAAGAATCAGCATATATTTTACAGAGAGAATGTCAGTTATAGTGTTCTCTCCCTTTCTGGAAGTCTTCCTCATCATCTAGATCTCTCTCAAGTGTTTTCTCACTAGAATTTTTTTCTTTGAAAGTCCTACTGATTATCACCTTCTTTCATTGTAATAGAAAAAGGATCTACCTAGTATGTCGTGATCCCAAAGTTTGCCAACATACAAAAGGTATAGACATGGTTGTAGGTCTTTATTTTGGACCAAGAATGACTCAAAGTGATAGAGGCGTTTTAAGTGTGAGACTGTGTGAGGATTAGTGTTCTTATTCATGCAAGTGGCAGAGTGCTCAGGTCCCACTTACTTTGGCAAAAATAGTGATTGCTTTGTATTGAAAGTTTCTTCCATTCGCTTTGTTTAATTCAACCATTTGTCATTCGAGAGTCTAAAAATCTGAGACCATGTGTTGAAGATAACATTTGGAATTGGGTTCTGAGGTGCTGTAAGCAGGAGATTCAGCCCTTGGATAGTTAAAGTTCTATGAAAACCATTTTATGGACCAGGCTTACTTGGTTATGAGAGACAACTGTCAAGTCACTTGTTGAACTTGCATGGAGTACTAACGTAATAGCATGACTTGTCAGAGGTGGCCAATGGTAGTCAGACATACCACCTCTGCAGGAGAACACTCAAGGTGAATTGGGACAGAAGATCAAGTATCTGTGTGTGGATAATGGAGAAGGGTGTTGTCATTCTGTGCTTGATCATCCAACTAGGTTTAATCTTCTATATTATTCGATTAATTTTTCATCAGATAGATGCTATAGAGCGAAAGGAGAGTCATGAAAATGGGTAATTTGAATTTAGTAATGGGGCCAAAATTCTATAACATTCTTGTCATTCCTTACATTTCTCACTGTAATGTACTTGTTATAAGTTTCAGTTACAATGACAGTCTCATGACAACCCTAAATCTTGTGACTGTTTTGGATCTTTTTCCACTTCAGTCCTATTAGTTGTGTACAATATTTCTTACTTGTCACTTAAATTTTAAGTGGGGGAGAAAAATAATAAATACAATCATTGCTTGTAATTCTCATCTATGCTTAAAGGTATATTTTTCTGTTGCAATCTGCAGGTGAGATCTCTGACGTTAGATGTCAAGGTTTGGGAACCTACAGTCTTGGACTTGTTCCAGTCTCTTGGTAATGTTTATTGTAACTCTATATGGGAAGGTTTGCTTCTGCTAAAGAACGAAAGGTGAGATTTCACTGGGTTTTCTACATCAGCTTAATGACCAATAAAATCCAAAATAATGAACTCTTTATTGAATTGTCATCACTTACTAAAAATTTTTGATTGTTGCCATGGTTTTAATGACAAAACCAATATTATACAGTTGCCAATATTTCTCTCTCTAAAGAATTAGGGTGTTCGCATTTTCTCTCATACGTAACCATTAATAGATGTTAAAATGTTATTAGTCTCTGCTTCAACCCCGCTCATATTCAAAGAATTAAAATGGCAGATTTTGCTTAATCAGAGCAAAGTCTATATTAAAGGTGTTGCATCCCAATACCAGAGTTAAGCAGCAGACTGCACCTAAGTTAAGACACAATTGAAAACAAAATCCAACCCATACTAAAGAAGCCAAAAAAAAAAAAAAAATCTGAAAGAAACAATTAAGGAAATAAGAAAAGAGAAAATCAAGAGAAGATGAGTACCATAGAGGAAGGCCTAGAGTGTAGGGTAAAACCAAGTGAGGGATTCACACTAGAGAAAACACTCGCATGAGGAGAGACCATACTATGCCCATTATAAGTAGAAAAGTCTATAATAAGACTTTAAAAAATAGAATGAAAGATGCAGGATGATTCATCTTAATTATACAAACATAACTGAACACAAGAAACAAGACACAGTAACAAGATTAAAAGGTTTACCTGCAAAATTGGCAGCTAGTACGTGAATCATGGAATTTTGGGACATATCATTAAATTTGTGACTTTGAACATCCTAAGGCAGTAATTTATCATGTGAATATCTCAAATGTGGAGCATCCTACTTCAACTCAACATCTATTACGTTTTAGGGCAATACCTATGGAATGTTACAGAGGGCAGAAATATCAATCTTTGACTTTCGCTTTATTGTAAATCATTTAGTCTCAATCCCTTAGCAAAAGTTAGTAATCTGACCTGAAATTTGGTCTCCATTACTCTGCATATTAAAAAAGCATGTTCACAAAAAATCAATGCAAGTTCTTTTCTTGCCTGGATTAAACTATCCACTTAAACTAGCATTGCTATGGGTCTTTGGCCGTACCAGGGTTGGGAACCTAATAATAACTATCCATTCACCTTCCAAACATTTAAAACAATTTCCTTTCCTTCTTTTTGATCTGTAGACCACTGGTGATAAATCAATTTGAAACGAATTACGAAATTTATTACTCCATTGTCTTGCAATTCTAGCTGAATGTAACAAACCTGTGCAGAGAGGATGAATCAAATTCTATCGCATCATCAATTCAAAAACCATGCCCAAAAGACGCCATTTATTGTAAAGAGAAATATATTCACACAAAGGTATCTGGCAAAATTCTTTGCTTGAATAGCATATATATGACTGGTGCATTGTGATGTTCATTTGTGTTTAATGGCTTTGTTTGTCCGTACTTTCCTGCAAGTCATGCTTCTTGAAAATTGTCATAGCATTAAAATCTTTAATTGTGTCACACTTTGATACACAAGTATCTTGATTTGTATGGGCTTTGAGAGGAGATAATCTATCCTGTCAAGTTATTTTATCCCTTCCACTACCAAAAAAGTGTAAAATGTACATCATAATCCATGATAGTCTAACCACTCCAGAACAAGGGACTAACCACTCCAGAACAAGGGACTTCTGATTGTTGCATGGTACACATTCTTGTCTTCTATAAGCTTGCTGATTGGCTGGATAAATTGTCTCGTTGTTTAATGTAAAATTCAAAAGGTAATAAAAGGACTTAACAATAGAAGTTACTCCACCGCTAGCATGTTAATGAGTCTAGCTCATCAATGAATAACAAGATAAATTGACACATATAAGTTGCAATAAATAGACAGTTCATTGTTAAGACACTTTTGTACTGCTGCTTGTTTGACATATATCAACTTGGATTTCTCCTGTATGCAGTTCTTTTCTCAGCAAATAACTTAACTTCAAGGATTGTAGATGTCTGGCATGCTAATTAAACTGTGTAAAACTGAGGTCAATGATTTAGGTAGGTGAACATGACTATTATTTTGCTGCTGGTACTTGGTGATGTGCTATATGCACCTAGAAGGTTATTCAACTGAAAAATGTGTTGATAGCTGACTGTGTTGAAATGTTTATTCTATGTGAACATACTGCGAATGTTCTTTTCTCAAGGTTTGAATCTCAGAAAAATTACTTCCATCAGGAATGATTCATGTCCATAATTTCTTGTTCATTTGTATGTCTTTGTCATCATCTTTCGTTTTCCATAGAAAGGAATGGTTATGTGAAATACGGGACTAACTTTGGTTGCTTTATACTAGTATGTGGAAAAATTGCTAGTCATCAGAGAAGCAAGTGTCTCTGGCAATTTATCTCACTCTTTGGGTATCTGGCAAGCTGTCAAGACAAACAACTTCCGAGAAGTATACCGCTACATTGCAATTTCAGACATAAACATTGTTAATACAACTTTTGACGAAGTTTTTGGCGTGGAATCGTTAAACCATGTCAATGACATGCAAAATCCCGAGTTCAATTCTAATGAAGCAGATAGAAAACAATATGATCCAGCAGCCTGTCAGAGAATCAAAGATTCAAATGATCAAGGGAATTGTCTTCAAGGTTGTTCATTGTTGCATCTAGCATGCCACTATGGCAACCCAGTAATGCTCGAACTGTTGCTGCAGTTTGGTGCTGATGTCAATTTGCGCGACTTCCATGGAAGAACTCCTTTGCACCATTGCATTTCAAAAAGGAACTATTCATTGGCAAAGTTTCTGCTTCGAAGGTAATATTTTGGTTGAAATCTCCTATACAATATGTTAATTTTCTTTGTGAAGAAGGATACTGCTTTTGTGATAATCCTAATTGGTCATGATTTTTTTAATAAAAGCAATTTAAAGAAACTAATCTCTGTTATCTCATCTCATTGCTGCAGAAGTTCCAATAATGTCATTCCCAACCGTCCCTTCCACCCCCCTTCCCCTCTCTTCCCCCTCCTTATTTGCTCTTTTCCTGCTCTTTGCACTGACCCTTTATGGATGCCACCTCCACCTTCCTTCCTAGTACAGGTCTTTCTATTCATCCATTTTAGTGACTCATCTTTGCCATTTTCAGTTTGTGCATATGTTTCAGCATTTGAAAAACATAAATTTTACAATCCCATAATACACCCACATTTTTATCTATTTGCACTCTCCTGACTTGATTCTGTGAGTAGCATCCTCTATACTTCCTATGAATCCCATCCTTCCTAACTTGTATGTTTGAATTGTACACCATTTCTCATGCAAAATTGGGCAGAAAAGGACAAACAGATTCACATAGTCGACTCCAAATTACTTGGGATACTATCTCTGTTTATAATTACAGTTCATGTTAATTATAGTCCTAGTAGTTTGGAATATCTAGAATCAAGTGCTATTACTCCATCGTTCCAACTTCTAGTTAACCCTTCAAGTATATCTATCAAACTTGTCCTATGCATCAATGCATTGTCAATTCATTCATGACCAAAGCTAAGAGATTAATTGGTTTAAGAGCAGGGAATTTGCGTGACCCTCATACAACATTTTTCTTATTTTATTTACTTTTGTGGATCGATAGCTTTACATCGGTAAATGTATTAAAATTAATAATTGTGCAGGGGTGCATCTCCATCAGTTAGAGATTGTGGAGGGCAAAGTGTACTGGAAAGGGCAATGGAAATGGGGGCCATAACAGATGAAGAATTATTTGTGATGCTAGCTGAATGCCAATAAAAAACGGTAAGCCATTCATAATCATTATCTTCAACTTCAACAAAACTTACCGTCTTATATCTGTAAAGATTAGGAAATTTCCAACTGATACACTTTGTATTAAATATTTTTGATTGATTGTCGATTTATTTGCACTAATTGTAACATGTAATTCTGTTTGCACCAAAAGTCTGGACTGAAACATTGAAGCACTGGGAGAAATTGATAACGAACTAATCTGTTGTCACATTTTTATGTGTGCATTAGGATCTCGAAGTACTTTAATTTAGTGGAATTTGATTTACAATAAATAATGGATTATTCAAGAGTGTGTTTATATATAAGAGTTATAATTCAAATCGAAACAATTGAATATTCGACTGATCTATATGACATGACCATGAGTAGAAATATTTCAATAATCGTATATATTTATACATACACACAATTATCAGTTCCTAATGTTTTTGAAGAAACAAATCAACGTCAAAATGCCATTTTCAGATAAACACCAAAATTAAATTACTCAAATGACAATACAGTAGAATGGAATTAGATGAGGAAAAAGTGCAGATGTAAGTGGTGGGAGCCGTAGTAGCTGTGGAGGAGGTGGTGCCAGTGGCAGTGGAAATGGGTCTTGATGTATATCCCTATTTCTCATTTTACGTTCACGTTATTTTTAATTAGGGGTATTTTTTCGATTTTCACGATCAATTAATAGATGAACCAATTAATGTAATGGGAAAATAATTAGACACAAGATGATTGAATATTGAAAACCCAGATTTTGACTAGAATAGTAGACTGAACTTCGAGGAAACTAGAAAGTGTTTAACACTGATATGATTATTTAATTTAACTAATTACATGGGATAATACAGTTTGGCAAATTAATACTTTTACCTCAGACTTTTCAAAGTGATCATTGGCTTAGAAAAATCTATATACATAATGTATAAATTTTATTAATTATTGCATCCATTCCGTTAATTTAACACTTTTTACAAAAATTAAAAAAATAATTGAATTATCTCAATTCTATAAAAATAACGGTAATTAATTAAATTATCCTCTCATTAATTCTGTAATTAAGAGAGAGTTTAATAGAGATATTTAGACAAAGGGTAAAGTTAAAATAAGATAATTAATGCTATCTTGATTTTCAAAAAACATCATATAAACAGAACAAGAAAGAAATTCAAACTACAAAACTGACGGACAGAGGCACTATGAAATTAGAAAAATAGCATCAATATTTTACACAGATTAGATATGTATTTCAAGTATGGATATTTATAACTCTATTATTACAAAGCTTAAGGCAACAAAGGTTGCAAAGTTGAAGACAATGGGCAATAACATTTAGGAAATGCGGATGGCTTGTTTTTAATTACTCATGCTTGAAGACAATTGACAAAATGTGTATAGATGATATATACTCGCAAAACTGTCCCCAGAGGATGTCAAAACAAATCTTTCATTCTCTTTTTGTTAGTGTATAGAAATACAGACAGACAGATACGATTTAAAATCAATTCGTATTAAATTTTAAAATTTTGAGACCAACTTATTTGTACAGACAAAAGAGTGCAATAATGCCGCAAGTAAAAAATAAAACTACCAGTCCGATCGGTAAATGGTAAAACTGGAATTGGCCCGAAGTTCCAATTTCAGGTTGGACCAAACCGACAAATAGATCCTAATTCCTGTTTTTCTCATACTTTTGAACTGAAATGTGTCATTCCATATTGATTCGAGATAATATGTTTATTCAAAATATAAGACAAGGGCAATCCTCCTCCCTCCAGGGGACCGAAACTAAGCCATGATTTGGCCTAGGTAAGAGGATTAAGACACTACAACTTATCCATACATGACAATACCTTAATGCAATATGTCTGCTGACTAAGCCAACCCATTCAGTCAGGTCACTGACATAAGGCTGTGTGTCTATTAGGCCTAATTGCATAAATACAACTTTTAAAGGGCACAACTTCACATTAGAAAACGAGATGTTGAGCACATTTCTCCCTTTCTCACGAAGATGTACACTTCAAATAAATTTAAATTTTCGTGTGCATCAAAACTGGAATCGAGACAGAGATGACACCAAAAATATCAGAAAATTCACTTTATCAACTATTACCACATCAAGATAACATGCTTTAAGCACCAAATATCAGCCTAAGTGATGTAAATCTAAAGCACAATATACCTCAAGGTAATGTGGCATACAACATTAGGAGCATAGCAACAAGTATTGTGCTGGCCCTGACAGAGGTTTTCTTGCAGCATATTATTCTGCAGTACCCGAATCCATTGTCTGGACTGGAGGAGCTGTGACAACTGGCAACTTAAGATCAGCAGGATTAGAGTCACAAGTCCTTTCTCGAATCTCCCTGTATTCTTGGCAATTAGCACATAAATGGCAGAAAAAGTGCGTGAAAAAGTCGCTACATGGTGCTTCCTGCATTAGCAATCAACAGAATTAGCTGTAGCAGTAAACTTATTCCAACAACAGTATTTTAAGGGTTTTATTGGGAATTCCAGCTCATATAGCAGTTGTGCAATTATAATTCAAGTACAAAGAATTCAAAATAAAAATCTTAGCAACAGATCATTGCTTTGAAGGACCGTGTTCACTTTCACTGCTAGAATTTTTAGCCTATACCTGCAACTGTACATTTAACCTTTATAATATATTCAACACTAAACAATAAATAAAAATTAAAGCAACAGAGTTTCATCTTGAGGATGTGAAGACTAAAATTTAACTTATTACATGGCATCTATTCTTTATCCCCAGTTATATTTTCCTCTTACAGTTTTTTTTTTCCTACTTGCTAAATCCCAACCTCTATTCGCCAATGGAAATACACATAGAACCTGAAAGTCACCTTCATAAAAACTTCTTATCAATACCTTACATAATTGTATACTGTAGATAACCAGATTTCAACATGCATTGTATTGAAATGCCGATGTTGCTAGTGACAATATTTGCTATACATCAGCAGCTCAAAGTAGGGATAAAGGCTAAATATAATCCAGCTGACACAAAACACCCAAGCAGCAAGGAAAAAAAAAATCAGCTAACACAATGAAGAATAGCAGACCTAAAGACAGCTATACCTGCAAATTATATTTTTCACGCAATGCCCTGCGGTAACCACAAGCATAACATGAGACAAAGCATCCAGGTAATCCCAACAAAATGCCATCAGTCATGCAGCAGCATATAGTATTGACAATAGCCCACAAAATAAAATGCGTCATGCATGATCCAATCAAAGTTCCAGAGCCCAAAAATTCTGCATTCTTTCCGAACAAATAGCAAGGGCAAAAGAGACCTACAAAACCTGTATCAGGTAAAAACAACAGTTAATAACGATCTTTAGCTCAGAATAGATACATGTTTTCCTTAAATTTTCCATCGTAAAGAAAATAATAAAATTATGTATATCAACAAATATATAAACATAAAAATATAGCACAAAGCCATACATTCACTTGAGAATTAGATCTTGAGTCAAATGATGAAAACAAGAAGCTCAATAAAAATTAAGCGTTATGAATCAAGTTGCTTAGAGAAGTAGTCTCAGTTTCATACAGTTTATTCAAGAAATTGTCAAGTACATAGTCGTTATACTGTCGTTGATAGCCGCTTATTTTAGGAAACAAGCTGCTACAGTATTTTACAACTTTAATAGTTGGCGACATATTTGGAAGTTTTAGCTTTGCAAGACTGTGTTTTTTAGATTTTTGTTATTTTTTTTTTTTAATTATTATTATTTTGAGTTCCTATCAGTTTCAATGGGAGTCCACAAATTTAAAGCTGTTGGAATATAATATCTTATGAGTGAAGAATTACTTCATATGTATAAAAACCTAAATTTACTGGCATACAATCAATCACAAAATTTCATGTAATTGTTGCTGATCCAAATTATGGGGTGCAAGTCAATCCTAGATATAAAGCCTGACGAATTATTGTACAACAACAACAACTAAGCCTTAGTTCCAAAGTAGTCCCAAACCGAGGAATTCTTGTGCTTAAAACTCTGTCATACTTATTCAATTTCTTCAAAAAAACTTCAGAACATTGGCCACAATGCCAGATCTGAACAGCAAACGGCATTTAAAACAGGTCTTCTTATGCTATTTTGCTTTCTAGTTGATAGTTTCTAAATATTCCTAGCTACTAAATCAACCACATAAACCGACATTTATTCATCCAACCCTGCAAGCTGTCCTACATCATCATAATTCGCATGTCCTACAGACATCTTCCAGAAAAATAACTACATATACAATAACAGAAGATATGAGGATCTACAAGCAACCATACCTAACTAAATAAAATCCACCAGGCACAAGGAAAACAATTTCCTTTATCAATAGAGGAAATCCGCAATATAAGGAAGAGAACCCATCTAGTTATTCGTTATTACCTAGAATATATATAAATTGAATTATCACCCAAAACTGACTTGCATTAGTCATAATTAATTAGGTGATGATTTATTCTACTGAGTTAACAGTAGAATCAACCAAAAACAAAGAGCTAAACACTACCCATCACCGATTCCGTTGATATAGTCAATTACTTAGCAAAAAAATTTCCAAATCCATGTTTAACACATCCACCACCTAAAACTTATATCTTTGATTTGAGGGAAAAGAACAAAACCCAATAACTTATTAGGCACCTCATATTAAATTTCTTCGGAATCTGATAAATGAAGGGTCACAAGACAGAAAGTAGCATACAGCTCTGCACATCATCGCAACAAGCACAGATTCCAGATGACCATTGCGTTTGATGAAAAGGAGCAGCATCTTCAACACGTTGAACAGTCTCTGCTTCTTCTAAGTCACAATCCGATTGTCCAATGGGAATATAAGGTGGTGGCACATAACTCTTCTCGTTTTTCATTATTCCTTCTTAAATCTTTTGCTGTAAACAACCTGCAACATTATAAACGTTGAAACAAACCCCAAATCAATCTATCATATTAAAAATCGGTTTCAAGAATGAAAAAACAAAGATCAATAATACTGAATCCTTAACTATCGGAGTCTAAGATTGATCGGACGGTTTCGAGATAACAAGAACGTCGGTCATGTCGAGCTTGCCTTCGGCCATCGGATGGTTAAGAAATCGACGACTAATTGTTGAAAATGAGAGACTGAAGATTCATTCAAGACAAGGAAGAATAGTAAAGAGAAAAAAGGGTTTTGGTGTAAAATTGAAAAGAAGAGAGAACAAAAAGAGAAAAAAGAAAAAAAGTACTGGTCTGATTAGGGTTTTCAAGCTTTTGTGCTGTGGCGAGGCGAGAGAAATGTAGTGAGGTGAAAGAGAGGTACTTCGCTCAATTTCGCCATTAAACTTTCAATAAATATCTAATTGATTGATAAAAAAAATTTAATTTTTCAATCAATTTAGAATTTATAATTTTTTTTTACAGGAAATAATATAACTTCATTACCTCGAGGAAAAGTATTCCAACAAAAAACATTAGGCTATTATCTCAAATTTGGACACAAGCATATAACTAAGTCCAAAACATTTGATTCTTTTGGGAAAGATCAGCCTATTATCCCAGTAACCTTTTAAAGCCAAAAGAAAAAAAAAAAACAAAAAAACCCTGCGAAATCAGCACTAAACACATCATTTCCTTGCATGTGTGTGACAGCATAAAGCACATCATTTTCTTGCATATGTGTGACAGGATAGAGGAGGACAAACTGAGATGCAAGAGCCTCCACAGTTGTTGTGTCGGACAACCATTATAATACCCAAACAAGGCTCAAATAAAGCTCATTTCATCATCTTTGAAGCAAATCTCGTATCCAACCATTTGAGCCGTATCAAACACTGCACCATCCACGTGCCCATGCCATGCACGTAGCCCATTGTCTCGTTGCACTCCACTATAAAACTATCCATGTCGTGTGGTTGAACCTGGACTAGACCAAGCAGTAAGGTGACTCATGCACGCTATGTGGTAATCATGCAAAACCGAAACTGCTTTCTCATGATAATCAAAGCATGATGTAATTTTATTGTTTCAACTAAAACATTCTTAGACTGTCAGGTTTGCCATTCATGCATAGCAAATAAATCAATCTTGGACGAGTCGGACAATGTCATAATCTGCAAAAAAAGATTTAAAGTCATGTTAGAGCTAAGGATCCCAAATTCTCCAAAACTCCAAACTCCTTTCGCCCTCTCACAGTGCACTAGGGCATGACTAACATCTTTGGATTCTTAACAAAAAGGACAAGAAGCATTTATATCAATCCCTTTCTTCTTTAATCTATCCTTACTAGGCAAAATATCCCCTAAACTTCTCCACATGAAACCTTTTACTTTAGGTGGTACATTTATTCTTCCAAACCTTGTTCAAACAAACCCCATTGATCCTACTAGCTTCTCTCCTCAATACTTTTAAAGCAAGAAAATAACTAGACTTTACACTATAAATGCCTCTTTTATTATAGTGCCACACCAATTGATCTTTCGGTCTTTAATGCTAAGAGGGGTATTGATAATAATTTGGATATCTTGGCACTAAATTTATTCATAAGCTTTCCCTTATCCCACCTCTTCTCACCCTTAACAAAAAGATCCTTTACTCTCACATTCGGCTCTATAAAATTAGACCCATCCTCCATAAAAAAAAAAGGAATTGTCAATCCAAAGCCCAGGATCACTGGCCACCTTTATACTAGCCCCATCACTCACTCTCGATCTCACTCCTTGTCTCAATATTATACTAGAAGAAAAAATACAATTCTATAAAAATTGTCTTAGTATCATTTATGTCTAAATGTGGTTTTGCATTATCCTGCTGAATGAAAATTGTCTTAGAACCAGAGCTTGACCATTTCTGCTTGATTGAAGGCAACACATTTTCAATCACATGAACAAATAACATTTTTATTAATCAAAATTATTGGTTGTCTCTAAAGTACTAGCTTGATGATTTTCACTACTCCGTTTGGCCATATCTTTAAACACAAATGGCCATATTCCTATTTTTTCCATCAAATTCTCTATTGGAGATGACATTAAATCGTGGGCAAGAAAAACTAGAAACATAATCTTCGTAATAAATCTTTTACTTTTATATGTACAATATGGCTCTATTTCATCGAGATGAAGATAATATTTTTGTGATGTCTTAGTCATATAAACCATTTTTCATCAATATGAACTCAATTATGCATGTTAACAAATGTGGGTTAGATTTGAGTGTACCTTCATTGATCATTGATAAGCAAAACTCCGACCTTGCTCTCTTATTGTCATCCTTCAAATATGATTTCACAAGATTTGAGTGTGACTGAATATATCCTTCTTTTAGCTCTCCTACTTATGGTTGACTTTGAAACATCTAAAGCATTTGATAAAGATATTATGTTTGTTCGACGATGGAAAGGGATATCTTTTATTTATTCTAAATGAAATTCTATTTTCTTGCGATCTCTTTTCACTAAATTTGAAGATAAATTTGCTAAATCATCATTTGCTATGCAACATTTTACATCATGCCAAATTCGAAAAACTGATCTTCTAGATATAGAAAAAAATTGGCTACTTTCAAAATGGCTCCTCTTAATGACTTTTCATCTTGACTCTCTTTGAGTAGCATATCAATAATAACTCTTTTTACATCATCAGTAAATTTTTTTTTTTTTTTTTTTTTTTTTTACATCATCAGTAAATTTTTTTTTTTTTTTTTTTTTTTTAGACAATGCATATCTTCTAGTGTTGTTCATGCTCATATGAGCATTATTGCAACATGTTCACATCTTCTAGAAAAAATTTTTTTTTTTTTTTTTTTTTTAGACAATGCATATCTTCTAGTGTTGTCATGCTCATATGAGCATTATCAACATAGTTCACATCTTCTAGAAAAGTATTCAAATCAATCAGATTATTTTATAAAGAAGGCAAATGAGGATTGGTAGATGAATGAATATTTCCTGGCAAAATATTCAAGTCAACTGATATATTTTGTACGGAATATTCAAGTCAATTGATGTATTTTGTATGGAAGAAGCCATTTTTTCTTGTGACTAAAGTTGGTAAAATGTCTCATATTTATATTGTTGTTAAATCTAAAAATTGTGAAAGAAAATTTAGCACCAAAGTATAACTTTTTGGAAATCTTACGTGAATTTACAATGGAAAAGTTTTAAAAATTTTGGAAGCAAATGTGTACCGCCACATTTGAGAGTGAATTTGCAACGGAACATATACTCTTGAATTTGCAGTGGAGTAATAATTTTATACTCAACCGTTTAATTATTTTTTCATTAATGTTTAGCAAACTCTATATGTGTGTTGTCGTATTGTAGACACTGAATTTTTATCCAAAAAGCTCATTGATGATAACTTATTTGCATAAAATCGAATCAGGACATCCGATCTCTTTGACTCTCGGACTGATGGTCCGTGGCTAAGATAATTGAGTTGTTTAACGTTTTTATTTTTTCGGGTTTCCAAGAGTTTTCCAGTGAAATTAGGCTCGGGAAGCACCCCATATCCATCCAGTGCGCATTTTGGCGCGCCGTCTAGTTTTGCGTGCCACTCGGTCTGATTCAATAAAAACGGATTTGGCCCAATTTTGGGGCCACCAGTGGCACTTGCCACCTAAGCCCTAAAATAGGGCCACCATTTCCCCATTTGCCTATAAATAGGGCAATGGGAAACGTGCAAAGTTAGGTCTTTTTGGTAGCTTAAGGGAAACTCTACTATTTTGAAAAATCAACCTTTTAATTTAAGAAAAACTTGTGTTTTCACTTAAATTCAAGGTTTTCATCCAATCATTTTAAGAAAACATCTTTGACCTAGTGATTAAAAGACCCACAAACACTTAGATTAAACTTAACTCGAATTTATTGATTTAAGATCAAGGCTTTTGGTTTTTGATTTTATCTTCCCCAAAATCTTGGATTTCTTCAATACAAGGTAACCTCTGAGAGCCTTTAACTTATCTTCATCTTTTTCTTGCTTTTTGGTGTCCTAAAAACACCATTTCTTTACTAGTTGGGAGAGTAATCTATGATCAACCATAAAGCTTCTGACTGCATCAAAAGTGATGCTCGCCTCTAAGTAGTGGCTCCACGGCACTACGTGTGATGCACTGCCACTTCTTTCCAAGTCAGAATGCCTTAAAAATCATGTTCTGTGGCCTCTAATCAGGGCAAGGTCTGCACACCACTACGTGTAGCGCACGCCACTTCTAGTGGCACACAGGCCTTCATTTCAGAGGTCCAGAAAGCAAAAATCAATAAAATAGTCTCGATTCGGAGTTCCTTTGAGTCAAGCACACAACTATCTTGCTCTTAATGCAGAAGCGACTTATTATGGACTAAATAAACACATAATCAATAAGAAATGGGTTGTGATGGGTGCATTTGTTCATCAACCATGATGAACATCAAGACTTTGGACTCTAATCTCGTATAAATCTTTAAATTAATGTTTCTAACTTATTTTCCTTTATCCTTATGGACTTTAAATTCCAGTAGTTTACTTTTATGCATTTTACTTTAATGCTTTTTATTTTTTGTTAATCTAACCATCTAACCTTAGTTTAGAACATTTTAATATTAACATCCATCATTTTTATCATTGTGAATGAATGTGGTTTTTGTTTAATTCTTATGGTTAGATATATTATGTGATAATGGTTGTTTAGTTAAGTTTATTCACTGCTTTTAAATTTTAAGCTTGATGTAAAGGGCCTTAATGGCCCTATCATTACATGTTTGTAATTAATTTTGGATTGGGTAATTATTTTTTGTGTTCATAAGGGTAGAATGTACATTTAGGAGATTGGTTGTAATTGTTTTCTCCCTCCCCCCTTGTTTGGATGATTTATTTTACATTTTATGTATGAGATTAACATGCTTTGCTGTGATATTCTAAAATTGCATAAAAGATTTTTACATCTCAATTAGAATTAATTTTATTACCAATTATTGTGAATGAATAGACAATGAAGGAGGTCGATTTTTAATCGAGCGGTTCGGGTGCCTAACACCTTCCCATATAACACCCAACTCCCTTATCCAGTCTCTGACTTAAAACCAAATTAATCAATTCTAAAGAATGGATTAATTCATGATATTTTTCCTAAAGAGGATAGTAACTCCAAATCAAAACTCTTACCAAAGTAAGAACCATTTTTTAATCCCTTTTTAAAAGGATCACCTCTTGAGGATTAATGAATAAGTCTAATAAGAGAAAACTAATTTTAATTAAAACGAACTAAGCTCGTTTTTGGCTTTTTAACCCATTCCAAAAAAACAAACATCCTCACTTACTCTTTGCACTAAATAATTAAACATTGATTTCTATGAGGATGACATAGAATAATTGGACTACTAAAACTTGACGAG